AGAAAATAGCCAGGTACAGTGGCTCATGTCTGTAAGGGATCCCTCAAGGGATCCTCCAGCCTTGGCCTCCCAGAGTACCAAGGCAGGAGGATCTCTTGAGGCTAGGAGTTCAAGACCAGCCTGGGCAACATAGCGAGACTCTGTTAGTACAAACAAACAAACAAAAAGTAGGCAGGTGTAGTGGTGCACCTGTAGTCCCAGCTACTCTAGAGACTGAGGTAGTAGGATCGCTTGAGCCCAGGATTTTGAGGCTATAGTGAGCCATGACCATACCACTGAACTCCAGGGTGGGTGACAGAGCGACAGAGCAACACATCATCTCTAAAAAAAGAGAGTAAGAAAGAAATACACTTTACAGAAAACACTAACCCTTTGAATAACCAATGATTGGTTTCCCGTCCCCACCAGTGTAAACCTAAGTGATCATTGCCATTCCACAGAAAAGAGTATTATCCTTGGTAGAGAGTAGCATGTTTCAGAGTTCGTTCCACAAATTTTGCCAAATTTGAGACACTAGGACACTTTACCAAGAAGGTAAAGCGGCTTCCTTATTTAATGACTCCTCAAACCTTTTAATACTTTTCATTTTTTATGGATTGCTAGGAGGGGGGTCATTATGAACTTTGATGGACCCCTTTTCTCAGAGCATCTTTGATAGTCTCCCTGGAACACATTTTGGGAAACATTGATTGAGAAGGTTTAAGAGGTTGGGTTGAATTGATACCCAGTTAAAGGTCAACCGTGGCCAGGACCGTGGCTCATGCCTGTAATCCCATCACTTTGGGAGGCCAAGGTGGGAGGATCATGAGGTCAGGAGCTTGAGACCAGCCTGGCCAACATGGTGAAACCCCATCTCTACTAAGAATACAAAAATTAGCCTGGTGTGGCGGCGGGCACCTATAATTGTAGCTACTTGGGAGGCTGAGGCAGGAGAATCGCTTGAAACCGGAAGGCAGAGGTTGCAGTGAGCTGAGATTGCACTCCAGCCTGGGTGAAAGAGCAAAACTCATCTTATTTAAGATAAAATCCCTATTGTTTTCTCATAACTTTTTCTTCTAATAATAGAGAAAAGGGGGAGGATCTCGGTTAATGGAAGGTTTTTATTAGTTGGATTACCTGAGGTACAGGAGTCAGAATCCAGCCTTGGTTAGCGTCCTTCAGGGCCAGCCAAAGGAAATCAAGACATTGGCAAACTGTTGGGTCTTAGGCCTCTTTTCTCCTTGGCTGGTTTGCTCAGTTTGTGCCCCTATCACAAACAAGCTGGCAGGAAAAGACCTGAAAACTCATTTGCTCTAAGATGGTGTTTGTTCATTTGCTCAATTGAACAAATTGTTATTTAATGAACAATTTCTAACTTTATTGCTTTGTGCTGGGTCCCTGAGGTAGTCTCAGAATAAATGCAAGGCTCCAGTGCATTCTCCAGCAGCCTCTGATCTCCTTAGGAGGATAAAATATGCCCAGCAGTGAGCTAACAATGTGATTAAGTGACAAGATGAGACTTAGGCTACTGTTACTTCTCCCTGGTAGCTCCTCTCTTGGGAGTCTACCTTTTAACCCTCCAGTAATGCTTTATTGGGAGCTCTTATTGTGGAATTTCCTCAATTCTACAAACCAATATACAGAGGCATTTTCCTTCTTTTCTTTTTTGGGAGAGCAGGTATTCTTTTGTAGTGGGTTCTGGGTGACTCCCACAGTGAGGCCAGCCAGCTACTTTAGGGTATCAGAGGGCGCTGGCCTGCTGGACCACCATGGGTAGTGCTTCAGTAGCCTTTAGCTCCACCTAAGGTTTATTTCTGCTAATTGCAATAATCTTGTCAATAATTCACAAATGAGGGAGAAAAGGCCCAATCTACTTTATTTTTTTGTCCCAGTCCTCTTTTCACCTCCAAGTTGGCCTTTAGTGCATTGTGGCCACAAATTCCTTTTGCAGAAGGCAAAATCACTAGGTTCTCAGTTTGAGCACTGATGAGTAGTTTCTTGGAGCAGTCTAAAAAGAAACGTGGTTTTTGACAGCAGCTAAAAAGAGGACATATTAGAAATGCCAAATTGCTGTTATAAAGAGTTGCCTTCTGGCAAGGGACTGAACAATTTAGACTTCAAGGATATGTAGAAATGTTTTGAAAATTCTTGTTTAAATGTGATCTCAAGAAGCCAACTAGATAAACTTTAAATGCATACAATTTCATCTTGAAATCTTACTCACAAAAAGTAGTTTTATAATCAAATACTACAGCCAAATGCTTATTTACAAAAATGTTCGTCTCAACATTATTTATAGTGGTAAAAAATGTGAAAACCATTTTAATGTCCAGTGGATAAGTGGTTCATTAAATAACGTCAAACAGGCATAAAAATTATGAAAAACAAAGTCTCATTCTATCACTGACATAGTTTGGATATTTGTCCCCCCCAATATTGTATTGAAATATAATCCCCAGTGTTGGAGGTGGGGCCTGATGGGAGGTGATTGGATCGTGAAGGAGAATTTTTCATGAATCGCTTAGCATCATCCCCTTGGTGCTGTCCTCATGATAGTGAATGAGTTATTGTGAGATCTAGTTGTTTAAAAGTATCTGGCACCTTCCCCCATCCTCTCTCTTGCTGCTGCTCTTGCCATGTGACATGCCCACTCCCACTTTGCCTTCTGCCATGATTGTGGGCTTCCTGAGGCCTCCCCAACAGCCAGGCAGATGCCAGTACCATGCTTCCTGTAAAGCCTAAAGAACTGTGAACCAATTAAACCTTTTCTTTATAAATTACCCAATCTCAGGTATTTCTTTATAGCAACAAAAAAAGGCCTAACACAGTCACCTAGCTGGAGTGCGATGGTACAGTCATAGCTCACTGTACCCTGGAAACCCGAGGCTCAAGTGATCCTCCCACGTTGGCCTCCTAAGTAGCTGGGACTACAGGCATGAACTACAACACCTGGCTAATTTTTTCAATTTTGTAGAGATGGGCTCTCACTATGTTGCCCAGGCTGGTCTTGAACTCCTGGCCTCAAGGGATCTTCTTGCTTCAACCTCCCAAGCACTAGGATTACAGGTGTGAACCATCATGCCTGGCCAAAAATTGGGTTTTTAAAGAATTCTTAATTCTTATCTATATTGTTTAGAATATGTATATATGTGCATAGAAGAAAAAAAAAACACTAAAAAATACTATTAACATGTTAACAGTGGATTTCTCTACTAATAATGATTTCTATTTTTAAATTTCTTTTGCTTTCAGAACTTCTATAGTAAGAATGTATCTCATCTTCATAATCAGAAAAAAAATTTAATGAATATTAGTTACAAATAATTTACATCTAAATATATAATGTTAATGTGATGAGAATTAACTGAAACAATGTGACTTCAATAGAATAAACTGTTGTGTTTTTGCTGTAAACATTGTTCCTGTCCTTCAAAAGGCTAAATATATTTGTAGTAATAAAAGCATGTAGAGTTTTTTTTTTTTTTTTTTTTTTTTTTTTTTTTTTTTTATTTATAAAAATAAGTATTTTTTTTTTTTTAAAAAAAAAAAAAGTTTTTTTTTTTTTTTTTTTTTTTTTTTTTTTCGGTACTTCTGTGAAATATGGCATACTGTTGGCATTTCTGTGAGGCAATTGAAAAGCTGTTCTCCCTCACTGTTTACCAAATTTTCACAAATCCCTCTTGGAAAACTAGTGGAAATTGTGGTAATGCTAAGAAACCCTGATCCTCCTTCACCTACTCTCCTGGGCTTAAAAAATTTCAGTGCTAGGCTGTGTGATCTAAAATAAACCTCCAGGGCAAAATATTAAAATTAGGGACTGGTTTTCTGCCAGCAAGACTGACATAGAATAGTCTTCTTACCATTGCAATGGAAACAAAAATGGAAAAAGAACAGAAAACCCTAAACAGTTCATAATTAGCCAGAGCAACTGGATGAATTCAGCAAATTCTAAGCAAGTTAGAAATATACAAGACATTGTCATACTATCTAGAAAGAGCCACTTTACTGTCTAAGATTTTAAGTAAACATCTTCAAGCTGGTGCCAGAGGCATTAAGTGGCAGTCCTGTTTCTTTAAAATAGCATCAAAATCTTTTTTACGTATTGAGCAGCAAAGCTGGAGGGGCCACTTTCATGTATAGCAGCAAATTCCAGCACTTCATTCAGAATTAAATTATTTACCTCAGGGTTCCAGACAGTCTGGAACCCCAAAGTAAGCCCTTCTCCCGGGTGGCAGCTTGCTGCAGAGAAAAGAGTTTGAAAACTCAAAAGCACCGGACAAATATAAGAGCTTATTATCTTTCTTCCCCAACTATGGGGCAGTCAAGAAAAATTAACCCTCTCATTTGTTAACCTCAATAACAGGGTTTAACTGATCTGTGGCCACGGATGGCTCAGATAATTGCCCTAATTAGTTTGGTATGAAAAGAGGCTGGGGTGGGGATTTGGAGCTCAAATAATTAAGCCAAAAGAAAAAGAAAAGAAAAAAGAGCTTATGTCTTACAGATTTGACATACGGATTCCAGATGTTAGGGAAGAAATTTTACTGCTAAGGCTTTTCAGCTACTTTTTGTAGTTAAGGACAGGATTGGAAGGAAAGGCCTCAAGGCAGAACAGGCTAAAAAAGGAGGGAAAGATCCTACTGATCATTACCGAACACCTCAGGGCATATGTATGTGTACCGGTATATATCTCCAAACTGAAAGCTCGCAGCGGGGTCTTAAAATGCCCCTAGACTGGGGGTGTTGGGGAAAGGCCTTGGAGGAGTGATTTCTGAGTTGGTTTGCTTGGAGCTTTGCTGGCTGATAAGTCACCTCCTCAGTTGGAAGTGATTGCTCTGTTAGGTCACTGCAGTTTCCCTCGGGAATTCTAAATTTAAAATGTGAATGCAAACTTCCCAGCATGCCAGGGAGGGTTGCTAGGATCTGGGTCCCATTTAGAAACAGAGACAGGTAATTATACCAAGAAAAGGGCTTCACTTTTTCTTCAATGCCATGTACTAGTCTCTGTTTCTTCCTTTCAGAAAATGGTAAACAAGGGAAAGAAAGAGGAGTTCCAGGACCTGCATACCAAAATATTACAGACACACAGGAAATGACTCTTCAAATCCAGGCTGTAAACCTGTCATTTCGTGGGCTTGTCTGCGAGCCTAGAAAAGCTGGGCAAAGATCACACTGAAGACATTCCTGTTTGGGGCTGGCTGTACTGGAGGACCTCTGGAGGCCTTTCCATGCCAGGTACTATGATTCTAAACTCAAGCCATAAAATGAAATGTTAGAGGAAAGCCAATGAAAATTGAGGCAAAATTTGTGGCTTAAAGCTTATTTTGCTTTAAAAAAAATTGCAGATTTGAAAAACTGTTCTTTACATGCAATAAAAATTTTTTAAAGAAACTGAAAAGCAAAAAATATTTTCAGAAGGGGTAATATTCTCAGTCCTATTACTATTTTTTAAGTATTTCAATTACAGATACTCCCAACATGTAATAAGTTACTAAGTCCTAAAAATATGTATTAAGTTTCCTAAAATGTTTGCATATTGACTTTAATCCATGTGAAAGATGTTTCTGGTGTATTCAACCAATGCTGCTCCTCAGGTTAGTGAAATGGTTTTGGATTCATTAATTCTCCAAATATTTGTATTCTGAGTGCCTTCTAAGGGTAAGGCATTCTTTGAATCAAACACACACAAAGAACCAAGCAAATCTATTGGTTAATGCAGGCTTTCCTCTCCCCTCCAGCTTAATGTGCTAGACCTGGAGCCAGACTGCCTGGGTTTCCCAGCTGCAGTGCCTTGAGCAAATTACTTAACCTCTCTGTACCAGTTTTCTCCCCTGAAAAGTAGGGTTATTAATAGCATCTATCTCATCAAACTAAATGAGTCAATACATGTAAAGCACCTAGAAAAATGCCTGGCACATAGCAAGCTTTCAATAAATGTTGGCTATTCATTGAGTGCCAAGTATGAGAGAAAGCAATGTAGAGGTAGATATGAAAATAAATAAAGTGCATTAAAGAGGGAATATTTCAATTGGTTCTTGGTGAAAACACGGAATTCACAAGGTAGTCAAAAAAGGGCCAGGTCAAGCAAATGGTGTGAGTGAAGGCACGGAACTACAAAACTAAATAGCATATCTGGGGAACTGTAAATGATTCATTAGAGCTAGATGAAGAGGCGTGTGACATATGCTGCCTCCATCCAAAAGCAAAGATTTAAAAAAAGAGAAAGTGAAAAAAAAGAGGCATATGGGAATGAGGGAGTAGAAACCACAGGATTTACTGACCAAACCTATGTGATGGGAAGTGAGGTAGGGCAGATTTCTGGGTTTATGGTGATGTCATCAGTCAAAAACAAAATATGGCATGTGGTGTGACCTTTGACACAATGTGTTTGGACATACAGTATGGAGGGGCCTTTAAGACCCAAGTGGAGATGTACAATTGGATACATAAATCTAGGGTTTATAAGAGCACTCTGGCAAGCCATGCAGTGTAGGGGATCATCAAAGTATTACTTAGTGTGATAGCCATGAACTTGGCTGAAATCTTCAAGAACGAGGGTGGAGAATGGGAAAAATAACAACGTAGACGGCACTGACAATCAGGGGCAGCTGGAAAAGAAGGAGCCAGAGAAAATAGAACCAGAATAGCATAGAGCCCTGGAAGAAACCAAAGAATCAGTTTTACATCAATTGATGGTTTTAGTGGAAAATGACAGAAAACCTAATTCAAACTGGTTTACATTTGTTAATAAGATATATTGGCCCATATCAGTGAAAACACAAGCTTCTGGATGGGGGCATGGCATTAGATCAAGACAAATGAGAATCAACCCTAAGCCAGGCGTGAGGAATTCAGCCCACCTACATTTAACAGTCCATATTGAATGCCTACTATGCACCAGGCATTGTTCTAGTCAACGAACAAAACAGGCAAAAAGTCCCTCATCTGTGGACAACACCCACAAGTACTTCTTGGTATCTCCCCATACTCTCTTTTCATTGAAACACAATGCTTCAAAAAATTGGGAAAACTATCTATGTGGAGGAAGATAAAGAGAGAAAATGTTAGAATTTAATGAAAATTCCAAAATATTTGCTGGGAATTTTAACACCGTTTTGTAGGAATATGTGGAACTTCTGTACTATTATCAGATGGAAGGGTGACACAGGGAAGCAGTTCAATATGGATAAAAATTCTAAAAATCCAAAATACCACCCATAATATGCTTTAAAGTACAGTTATGAATTCAGATTAGTAAGTTTTTGACTTAATCAAATTGAGTTGCTGAGTTTATTCGGATCATATAGACCTGTAAAAATACTTACATGTTTCAAATGTCTCTGGTAGAGCTTTGTACCTAAGTTGTGTAACATATTTTATATGTAGATTATGTTCAAACATACATTAATCCATTTATATTTTAAATTAAAAAAATATCATTTGCAATCAAAGAAAGCCTCATGCTCAGCCATCATATCCAACTAAGCACTACCAGTTTCTCCATCCCTCTCTTCTTTGAAGCGAACACTTTGTGCATCCATGGGTATATTGTGTCAGCTCACTGGGCCTATTTTCCATTCTCCAATTTGAAAATGATGAAACTGGCCGGGCGAGGTGGCTCATGCCTGTAATCCCAGCACTTTGGGATGTCGAGGCGGGCAGATCACGAGGTCAAGAGATCGAGACCATCCTGGCCAACATAGTGAAACCCAGTCTCTACTAAAAATACAAAAATTAGCCGGGTGTGGTGGCATGTGCCTGTGGTCTCAGCTACTCGGGAGGCTGAGGCAGATGAATCGCTTGAACCCAGGAGGTGGAGGTTGCAGTGAGCTGAGATTGTGCAACTGCACTCAAGCCTGGCAACAGAGCAAGACTCCGTCTCAAAAAAAAAGAAAATGATGAAACCTAATTGGATTTTTGGCAAATAAAATACTATTATGTGATTAAACTTTTTCAATTCAAAAGCACCACTAGACAGCATTTAAATGTTAAGATTAGAAAGTTGCAAGTTTGCAACTGAGTCCAGATCTTAGTAGTTTAATGGTGAAAATAGATTGTCAATTTTCTCAGTAATTTTTTTCGGCCAAAGCAGTTGAGTCAGTAATATTTTTCTGATTCCAGTTAGAATGTTTCCCATAAAACTCTGTAATGCTGTTTATACTTCAAATTTTAAAACAGCCAACATATGCTTAGTTCCTTTCTCAAATTAACCATGTACAAAAAGTTATTCATGCCTGATGTAGTTTATTTCTCTTTTTTAGAGACTGGATCTTGCTCTGTCACCCATGCCAGGATACAGTGGTGCATCATAGCTCACTACAGCCTTGAACTCCTGGGCTCAAGTGATCCTTCTGTTTCAGCCTTCCCCAGTAGCTAGGACCACTAGTGTGCACCACCATGTCTGGCTAATTTTTTTTTTTTTTTTGTAGAGATGAGATATTAGTCCATTTTCATGCTGCTGATAAAGACATTCCCAAAACTGGGCATTTACAAAAGAAAGAGGTTGAATTGGCCTTACAGTTCCACGTGGCTGGAGAAGCCTCACAATCATGGCAGAAGGCAAGGAGGAGCAAGTCACATCTTATGTGGATGGCCGCAGGCAAAGAGAGCTTGTTCAGGGCAACTTCCTGCACTGATGGCTTTTAAAACCATCAGATCTCATGACTCACTCACTATCATGAGAACACCACAGGAAAGACCCACCCTATAATTCAGTCACCTCCCACCACATGTGGGAACTGTGGGAGTTACAATTCAAGATGATATTTGGATGATGACACAGCCAAACCATATCAGGGTCTCCACATGTTGCCCAGGCTTAACTTCCTTAAAGAGGAGGAAACAATCAGAAATATCAAGTGACTCAATTCTCTAAAAAGAAAGACATTTCAACAGAGGATTTTTCTTATGTATATGGATTTTTAAAACTTTTTCCCACTAGGTTTTCACTAGCTCAACCAAACTTTACCTTAGTACCCACATAGACACTTGTGCAAACATGTTTGCAGGACATCTATGAAGGAGAAAATAATCCATTCTCTAATGTGATGATGTAGAGTGATATGAAAGTCCATTTTCCAACCAGGAGATACAAATGGCTGAGTCAGACTTGCTCCAAAATATTTAGCCTCTTCCTTCCTAAGTCCTATCTTCCCCCTCATAAAACGTACTCTGCATATTTCTCAGATGAGAGGGAGAGGGAGAGAGAGGTAGAGAAAAAGAGGGAGAGTGAAGGAGAGGGAAAGAGGGAAAGGAAGAGAGAGAGAAAAGTTTGCTTTCATGCTAACTTAAGACCCTTGCAATATTTAAACAACTTCTGAGATATCTGCTCTACCAATACATGCATCCAAGTTTTAGATTTCTCCAGAGCTTGGGAATCACCTCACAAATATAACTAACTTGATTTGGTTGTATTGTGTTTGGTGTCATGTCATACTAGGGTATTGCTTTATCACTCGATGCCACTCCCTAGTATAGATTTTCAAATTCATCAGACTTCAATCTTAAAAAAACATATTCTTGCTTTAGCAATTACTTTAATTTTGGGATCCATATACTTCCAAACCTAGAGGATGGGCAGTACAGAATTGGTTTTTCTAAACTCAAGATATGCTGGAAGCCATCATACTGTTATGCATCTTTATTCCACAAAGCACCATGGCTGGTGCAATCACTTTTAATGACTTTTATAAATTTTAATCTACTTGATACATATGCCTAAGCAAACAAATCTTGCATAATTGTTCAAATTTTGTCTTTCACATTAGGGAAAAACATATATTTTTTTTTTTTTTTAAAAGGTCAGATTATTTTCTTTTCTTTTTTAATTTTTTTTTTTTAGACACACTCTTGGGACAGAGTTTCGCCCTTGTTACCCAGGCTGGAGTACAATGGCGCGATCTCGGCTCACCGCAACCTCCGCCTCCTGGGTTCAGGCAATTCTCCTGCCTCAGCCTCCTGAGTAGCTGGGATTACAGGCACGCGCCACCATGCCCAGCTAATTTTTTGTATTTTTTTAGTAGAGACGGGGTTTCACCGTGTTGACCAGGATGGTCTCGATCTCTTGACCTTGTGATCCACCCGCCTCGGCCTCCCAAAGTGCTGGGATTACAGGCTTGAGCCACCGCGCCCGGCCCCTAAATTTTAATTTTTTTTTGTAGAGATGGAGTCTTGTCATGTTGCCCAGGCTGGTCTCAAACTCTTGGCCTCAAGCTGTCCTCCCACCTCGGCCTCCCAAAGTGCTGGATTACAAGCATGAACCACCATGCTTGGCTGTATGGTTCTTATACACTGAATGTACAGTGTTCTGTAATTAATTCTTATCTCTTAAGGGCTTGAGAATCATGGAAGGACTGATGCACTGTAACCTCCGTTTTATTATTCAAAATACTACAAATAACTGAACTGCATTTTGGAACTCAAAGTTTACATCTTCCCAACTACTTCTTGTTCATTTTACTGAGTGTTACTATATGAAAAGCACTAAAATAGAATCTGGGTAGAGAAAACATGTAGAAGTAGGGTTACCAGAGAAAATAAAAGATGCTCAGTTAAATGTGAATTTCAGATAAACACACTTTTTGTATAAGTATGTCCTGAATACTAAATATACCAAAACATTATTTATCTGAAATTTAAATTTAACTGAATGTCCTGTAAACTTACAATTTAATAAAGAAATTAATGAATAACCATAAAGCACAGATGACAAGTATAATCATACAATCAGGAGAGGAAAAGATCCCCATTAACTACAACAGAAAAGTACCCTGAAGAGATGATAACTGATGTCGTTCTTGAAAGATGACTAAATTTTGACTGATGGGCAGGTGGTTTAATGTGTCCCAAGTTAAATTCCAAATTAATCACTCACTAGCCGTGTAACATTAGACAAGCTACTCAAGCATTCTTTATTATAAAATGGGAATACTAATAATATCTTGCTAGGTTGTTTAAGGATCAGAGAAAACATATTCACAAAGCACCTGGAACACAGTAGGCACTCTTTAAATGGTAATACTTCTTATTACAACTTAAAATGTCACACAGCAAATAGGGTACTTGTCACAGACAAACATTCAAATGTTAATGTTATGCAGTAATATTGAATAAGTAATTTTATTTCCATGATCTATTTACACTGTACAAAGACTGTTGAAAAGCACCCTACAAGTTCACAGTACATTACAATATATTTACTTTAAAAATATATTCCTTTATAAAAGGTTTATAGAACATTGGCATGTCAGCATGTGACAAAACTCTCAAAGCATGTCGCCAATTCTGTGAGAGTAAGAATGCATCCAAGTATCAATTTCGCAATCACAAATCACCAGTTGAGTTTTAAATACATACATGTTTTAAATAAAAAATGAATTCTACAGTGGAACGTTCTTGAGGCAATACTTACTAGTTAGTTCATTAACGTATGTACTTTCATGGAAACATGTGATAATAACCCACAATACCAGCTTAATCTGCCCAAAGAAACATTTCAACAAGTTTAGCAGTCCAGAAATTCTGGTCATTTGTTTTCTACTTTTTCTTCTTTGCTGGTTCTCCTGGCTCTACTTTGCGCTTTTTATAAGTATGCTCATCTTTTTCATCATCTTTAAACAGAAAAGGAAGAGTTTCAATCAGTAATTTTAAAAAACCCAATATGTTAAAAATTAAATCTCACTGACTTTATACCAAATTACCCTCATCAACTGTTTCTCTCAAAGCTTTCCAATAAAAAACATAAGAAAAACCAAGAATTAACTTTTAGAGTTCTGATTTTTAAATGCAAGTGAAAGTAAGCAAATTTTTTTTTTCAATTACAGCCTTACAAAATTCCCAGTGACTCTTTAGTGCTATATTAAGGTAGCTTAAAATAAGTGACTTGACTTCCCCCAAATCAGACTTCCAAATACTTGGCAAGTTTGTCCAACCTGCCTTATTTGTTGTTCCGTTTTGTTTTAGGCTTTTAGCAGCCTGAAGCCATGGTTTTTAGTTTCTGTCTCTAGTGATCAGCAGAAAAGAGGGATGAGGAAGGGGCTTTACTGGCCCAACCAAAAACAGAAACTAAGAACTCATTGACTGTATTCTCCCCCTTGGATGCCCCTGCATAATAGTATTTACATTGTGTATATTCAAATACAATCAATGCTTTGTAAGAATGGAGCATATTGTTTTCTTTTTACAAAAAATAGTTATCAATCTAACCAGGACATTATTTAAGTGGCTATCAGCTTTCTCTCCTCCAAAAAAACCTTTCTCCCCTCCACAAACAACTTCTTTCTCCTCATCTCCTTCTCCACCCACTCCAAATCCTTATTTTGAGGTTAAAATGCACTCACAAGTAGGTTTCCCCAAACCTCTATTTGGAATTTTATCCTAGGAAGCTCTAATCCGCACCCCCTCACCCCTGCCATTCCTAGAACAACCAGAACATTCTAATGGCAACAGAAAAATAAGTATCTTCCTACTTCATATTATGGAGAATCTGGAGAAGGAAGGGAAGTTAGAGAAGAGCCTTACATTAAAGCAATGTCTTTTACACCTTTCCAAAATGTTATAATATTACAGAAAATTTCCAATTCATAAAAATGGTGTCAAACCTCACAAAGTGGACCCTTTTATTCTATTTTAAAAAATCCAACTACAGTGAAAAAATACAGGGTAGCACAGACTAGTTGCTAATTCCCATCTCCCTAAACAAATGAGTGGTATTAAGAAGTCCATACAGAATTAATAACATGTAAAAGATGTTATGGTTTATAAAATACAAATTTATTTTGAGCACATTACTAATTAATTGTAGCTTTTGACCTATTTTCTCGATCAACAGATACTCAAAAAGTTCAACAGGCATCAAACAAGATCTATAAAATATTTTGATACTGAAAGGGGCCTTCATATTAAAAATGTGGGGAACTACTGACATCAAATCATAAATTCCTTGAAGGAAATATACTTAAAATCTTAAGCCTTCAATTCCCTTCTGCTAATTGTACCATATCAGAATATCGAATTTATTGATGCAGATTAACAATTAGTACCATTCAGCTTCACTCCTCTTCAAGCACAGCATGGTGATGTTATTCATGTGCTTCACAGAGCACTATGGATTTATGTAGGCAGCATAATGAAATGCAATTCAGATCAAGAACTCACCCCAGAAACTTAAAAATCAAAGTTTTAATCAGTAGTTTACCATGCACACACAAAAATACTGGCTCTGGCCGGGCGCGGTGGCTCACGCCTGTAATCCCAGCACTTTGGGAGGCCGAGGTGGGTGGATCACGAGGTCAAGAGATCGAGACCATCCTGGTCAACATGGTGAAACCCCGTCTCTACTAAAAATACAAAAAATTAGCTGGGCATGGTGGTGCGTGCCTGTAATCCCAGCTACTCAGGAGGCTGAGGCAGGAGAATTGCCTGAACCCAGGAGGCGGAGGTTGCGGTGAGCCGAGATCGCGCCATTGCACTCCAGTCTGGGTAACATGAGTGAAACTCCGTCTCAAACAAACAGTATCGCCAATTTAAATGGCAAAAAAAAAATACTGGCTCTACAAACCAAGTAACATGGTATACCACTCAAACAAGCCAAACCTTTTGCTTTTTAACTGGAGTTAGTTACCACTAAGCTTGTCTTGAGATTTTCAGTAGTGATGACATAAAAATTGAAAGTACTGGCTGGGCGCGGTGGCTCACACCTGTAATCCCAGCACTTTGGGAGGCCGAGGCAGGCGGATCACGAGGTCAAGAGATTGAGACCATCCTGGCCAACACAGTGAAACCCCGTCTCTACTAAAAAATACAAAAATTAGCTGGGCGTGGTGGTGCGTGCCTGTAGTCTCAGCTATGTGGGATGCTGAGGCAGGAGAATTGCTTGAATCTGGGAGGCGGGCGATCGCACCACTGTACTCCAGCCTGGTGCCTGGCAACAGAGCAAGACTCTGTCTCCAAAAAAAAAAAAAAAAGAATGTACTAAGTTTACTATAATATTCACTATTCATTAACATACATGTAAAAGATGATACTGAGATATTTTTGCTTTTAACCTGACACTTATTACAAGTAAGTTAACTGAATAACAAAACCACAAACTAATGAAGTTGAAAAAATAACTGGCTATCAGTGATTTGAGCAGAAGTGCTATGCCACCTAGTGTCATGACAAGGCATTGCTTTTGTAAACTAGAGCAGAAAAATACTGAGTAAGTTTATTTACCAACTTTACTGAGCTTTTTTACTCTGTCTCATATACAGTACTGGTGAGGAAACAATTTTTTATTATGGAAATCGAATCACTCAAGTAAGTTTAACATATAAACAAACTTTCTAAATTCTAAAAAATGTAAACTAAAAATCACTAACTATATTAACTATGCTTTTACATTATACATGTCAATAAAGCTACAATTAATAATTAAGCTTTACTTACCTACATTTTACAACCACTAAAACCAGAAGTGCTGATAAGCAGCAAGACCCAATGATGAGTTCTCAACCTTTTCCAGCTCTTCCTTTAAAGTAACTGGAAGTTAACTGGCAATAAAAGGCCAAAGGGCAGAATGGGAAAGCAAAATACAAAAGTAACTTGATAATCTAAAATTTGGATAATTTAAGAGTGCAGAGTTTCTGATACATATTTTATGAATAAAAAAAAGGCTAAAAATTATGCCAGAGAAATTGATTTTACAGTGGGTTTATGATATAGGAATCTGAAATGGCAAAAATCACTTCTAAAAAGGTCTTTTTGTCATTTGATATTGCCTGTATTTGTTTTCTGATGAAGGGCCATCATGCGATCAAAAGGACAGAAATTATCTATGTGAATAGCAGTGTTACTTGCCACATATTTGGAACTCCTTCTAACTTAACTCAAAAGCTAAGCTGGAAAAAGGATAATTCTTTCTTGCTTGCTTGCCCTGGTGTATAATCCTGGCTTTTTCCATATAGGGACAAAGATGTGAGAGCACCATACTATGGAAATCTAGTTTGAATATCAACCCTGGTATCTTTAATGCCATTATCCCTACAGAAGAATAGCTGTATCTCAAACATTGTTGAGAAACAGTTATTCATCAGGAGACCAAATCCCAGTTTAATAAGGCATAATTTCTATTTAAAGGTCTGGATTTGAATTCCTACTCTGCCTCTTCTTTAGCTGCGTGAATTTGGGTAAGTCTCTAATCTCTGATTGTTTCATTCGTAAAACAATAATAATGAATCATGTAGCACTTCTGTATCAGGTTGCTCACAGTAATAAATTAGAAAACTGTGTGAAAGTGCCTATTTTAGAACTTGGCATTTTCTAGTTTTGTGAGCTTGGACAAGCTATATAAGCTATCATTTCCACACTGCTCTCATTTCAGAAGGTGTTGTAAGAATTAAAGATTATTTAAGCAAATAGATTTTTACTATTTATGAAAAAGATTGTACAATATGAGGTATTATAAATGTTCACATCACTTAAGGTCTGCAAAAAGATGCCACTTATTGAAGATGCTCCTTCATTAAAGTGACTTCTAATACATACTGGCAGTCAGCAAAAGTAATGGAAAACCTAGGTAGAATCAGAATTAAAATAAGAACTCCTGCCAGTTGGTTCTCCTTTCTTTTAAAACAAAACATCACTCCCTGTATAACTGTAAAAAGGGGCTAAGTAGCCCTCATACTGTGGGAAGATCAGAAATCTGTTTAACAAAAATGGCATACTCTTTCTTAAAAATAATGGTCCAAAACGTTAGTTCAATTCAACAACTATCCACTGAATACTTACAATATATATCTGATACACACATAAACACTTCAAATCCTGCTGTTTGAGGAACTCATCATAAAGCAGACAGACTTTTAAAAAAAATCACATACAAGTGATGAGAGCAATCAACAGCATTAGCATTACAAGGTACAGAGGAGCAAATAATTATTAGAGGTGATACCTGAGATTTCTTCTTTTGAGTTGGATTTTGAAGGATGAATGAGTTTACTAGCTAAATAGGTAAGAAAGAACACTCCAGAATAAGGTGCAACATATACTGAAAGGCAGGGAACCATGAAATTCAGTTCTGGATTTCAAGATCTTCAAGTGCTAGAAAGGGGGCCATTAAAAATGACTGTGGGGAGGGAGAAAGGACCTATCCATAGAAGGCCTTGACTCTGTTGAAGGGTTTTAAGCAGGCAAGTTACATAATCAGATATGACTTTTAGAAACTCAACACTAGCTGCGGTGTAAAGAATGGAACAGATTGGGTAAGAGTGTGTAGGCAAAGATTACTGTGATAGTCCAAGTAAGAGATGAAATTATATTATGAACTAAAGTAAAACAACTAAGACATTATCTTCCTATTACTATGTAGTAATGCTCAGTTAAATTCATTTGGTCATACTAATTTTAGCTCAGAAGCACAACTGCCTTAATAGAAAATGAAGCCTTCGGCATGGCACAGTGGCTCACACCTGTAATCCCAACACTTTGGGAGGCCGAGGCAGGTGGATCACGTGAGGTCAGGAATTCAAGACCAGCCTGACTAACATAGTGAAACCGCGTCTCTACTAAAAAGAAACAAAAATTAGCCGGGCGTGGTGGAGGGCACCTTTAATCCCAACTACTTGGAGGCTGAGGCAAGAGAATCGCTTGAACCTGTAAGGCGGAGGTTGCAGTGAGCTGAGATTGCACCACTGTACTCCAGCCTGGGCAACAAGAGCAAAACTATCTCAAAAAAAGAAAAGAAAAGAAAAAAAGAGCTGGGCACGGTGGATCAGGCCTGTAATCCCAGTACTTTGGGAGGCCGAGGTGGGCGTATCACCTGAGGTCAGGAGTTCAAGAATCAAAATTAAAATAAGAACTGGCAGCCTGGCCAACATAGTGAAATTTGTCTCTACTAAAAATACAAAAGTTAACTGGATGTGGTGGCTGGCGCCTATAATCCCAGCTACTCGGGAGGCTGAGGCAGTAGAATTGCTTGAGCCTCGGAGGCGGAGGTTGCAGTGAGCCAAGATCATGCTATTGCACTCCAGCCTGGGCAACAAGAGCGAAACTCTGCCTTAAAAAAAAAAAAAAAGAAAGAAAAGAAAAAGAAAATTAATCAGCATTCTGCAGCGACAGTCACAAGAATCCAGGAATTGATTTGTTGTTCTAATAATAAAATAATAAGGCATCATGAATCACAGACTACTGGATATCAGATATTTCACTTTAAAGCCTGAATAATTTATCATCTTTCACTAAAACACAGCAACTACTAGCTGAGTTATGAGAGACTTCGCGTTAAAGCCAAATATATACGATCTTTTTTAAAACCAGTGCAAGAAGTATCCAAAGACCATCAGATTACTTTGCCAATTCACTAGATTTAATTTTCATTCATTAATTCATTCTTTTTAAGCCCATCCCCGGGATCAAAACAGATTACCACCAGATTCTGACTTTTCTTACCTGATTCCAATGTCTCCTCTCCTTCTGGTAGAAGCCTAGCTTTCTTAGCATTCTGTGGGGCATCATCACCATTGTCCTCATATATGTTAGACCATTTTATTGCCATGTCAAGCTCTGGAGGCGGAGGCTTCTTCTCAGTGGTGTAAGTCTCAGGAGGTGGTACATAATTTGACTTCCATATTTTGAATTCCTTTGGAGGCTGTTAAGCAAGCACATTAAGAAGCACTGTGACGAACCGAGGTTCCTATGATAGACGTGGGCACATGCATCTCCCTGCAGTTCGCTTATCGTTCAGGCTGACTTTTTTTTTTTTTTTTAAGGTTGAAAGACACATTTTTCCATCAAAACCACAATACTGTTAAGTGAAAAGCCAAAGGGTTCCCTATATGAATAAAGCTAATAACTTTTAGTTACCAAAGAAGAATCCAGTCTCAGAGATACTACGCCAAGGCTGACCCCTTCAGGAGGCTGCAGCAGACACTGTCTTGGAGGCAGCACCGCAGGCACTTCGGCGTCAAAGGGAAGGGGTCTCAGGGAGAAGCTGCAGCGGGGGGGGCGGGGGAGTCACCACCGTTAGTCCTCGCCGCGCGGGGTCGGGGCACCGAGCGCGGAGGTTTGGGTCTCCTCATGAGGGGGCGGGGCTGCGGGTCCGGTCTGACACCCACCAGGCTGGGGGAAGGGGCCGGGCTTCCCGGGGCTCGAGGTGGGAGGGGGTGGTGCGGCATCCCGCGGGGGTGACTGCGTGTGGGGGAACGGACAGCAGGTCCCCAGCAGGGGGCTCAGGAGGAAGGGGGCGCAGGCCGGGGTCGAGACCGGGAAACGGGGTCGGGGACCTCACCTCCTCAGGTGCCTTGACGACGTGCCTCTCCCAGTCTATCTGCTTGTTGAGCGGATTGTAGAGAAAGGCCGGGCGAGTCACGCTCCTAAACAGCTCGTCGGGTCCCGGGAGCCGCTTCTCCGCCTTGCTCCTACAGCCGCTCGCCGACTTCGCCGGATCCGGGGTTCTGCAACTTGTCTCCTCCGGCTCGATGTTATCCTCCTCGTCCGAGGAGCCTGAGCTGCTGCTCCCGTAGGCCGCGAAATAGCTCAAAGGGTCCTTCTCCTCGGCTGCCATGACGGCCGCAAGCTACAACCCAGCACTCCGCCGGAAGCCGGAAGCCACGCCAGGGTCCGCCCCGCGCTCGGCCCCGCCCCACGTCTTGCAAATAAGCACTTAGTCTGCGACCCCTGGCGGCTGCGCCACGCTGCTGCTTCCCCGCGGAGGGGCCGAGGCTGGAGGCGGGCCGGGCAAGTTCCCAAGCAGGGGCGGGGGCTGCTTTTGCTCATTTCTGAGGAGCTCCGAAAAACGATGAAGTACTGAGCCAGGGAGCCCAGCCAAACTTCCCGCATTCGATGGCATTTACTAAAGGCACAGAAAAGCTAAGAATTTTGTCTTTTCACTGTCACTCCACTTTAGCCCTTGCCCAGAGAGGGTAGAATTTTTTCTGATCCACTGCATTTCATCTTCCAAATAAAAATTACTCTCAGTGTGTTTCCCTAGGTTGTCATGGAAGACCTCTAGGGGTGGTAGACTTCCCAAGCCAAGAACCAAATCCTTTCCTGCTTGACCTCATTCAAATGCTCTCTGAACAGCTTTGATAAAAATCCTCATAGATCATAGCCCAGCACTCGGGTTTGTTCAAACTCTGACTTCTCACTGTCAGCCTCCTTCCTTCTTTGCCTGCGTTGCTCCAGATGGCCCTTAAATGTTGGTGTTTTCCAGCGACTCAGGAGGCTGGGGCAGGAGAATTGCCTGAACCCGGGAGGCGGAGGTTGCGGTGAGCCGAGATCGCGCCATTGCACTCCAGCCTGGGTAACAAGAGCGAAACTCCATCTCAAAAAAAAAAAAAAAAAATGTTGGTGTTTCCTAACATATTGTACTATCTTTCAGAGATGCTTCTAACATTTTTTTTTTTTTTTTTAATTTTTATGTTTTTGAGACAGGGTCTCACTCTGTAGCCCAGGCTGAAGTGCAGTGGCGCCATCTTGGCTCAACGCAACCCTCGCGTCCCAGGCTCAAGTGATCCTTGTGCCTTCCGAATAGCTGGGATTACAGGCACAAGGCTAATTTTTATATTGTTTGTAGAGACGGGGTTTCACCATGTTGGCCAGGCTGGGTTGCTAACATTTTTAAAGGGTGTTATAAAGTTGCAAGTCAGCCCATCCCTTTCCACTGCATTAACTACTTTGTGCTATCATTCCCAAATCTGGGTGTCCAACCCCAATTTTTCCATCCAAACTCTAGACCCGATCACCATTTGAATCTTACATTTTCCATATGGACATCCTTCTGGGGCCTCAAACACCCACTTATTGGAACTGTAACCTGTCTTTTTATATAATTTTTCTCTGCATTTGTGTTCCTTCCTTTGATAAATGGTGTAACCATATGCCTAGTATTCAGGGAAACTAGAAATCTTTGACTCCTGGTGAGCTAAATGGGAATGATAACCAAATGCAGTTCGCATCAGTGTAAATATTTAGATTTCACTTAAGGATGGCTGCTCATTTAGATGATACACGCACACATAACTTGCCATTCCCCCCTGGAAGTAGGCCTCAGGGCAGAGATACATATTTATCTTGTTCACTCTCTCTTTCCTGTGGTACAATGTCTATGAGCTCCTTGAGGGGAGGAGCTGGACCGTGCTTTGCTCATTTTCAGGTTCCTAGTAGTACCCAGCACAGTGCTTGTCACGGAGCAGATGGTTAATAAATATTTTTGGAGTATAATAATTTATGATGGTGTGGGTCTAGATAAGTGTTTCCCAAGTTTTCCCATGCAGGTACTTATGTTGGCAGAGGAAATTGATGATCCCAAAGTGCAAAGTTTGGGAGTCCCCAAAACCATCCTCTCTCCTGACACTAATTTCAGGTTTTGCAAACTTCATACTACTCTCAGGTTTGATAATTTACTAAAAGGCTCACAGAACTCACTGCAAGCCATTATACTCATGGTTACAGTTTATTACAGCCAAAGAATATGGGTGGGGTAGGGGGGAGACCAGCCAAGGTGTAGGGTTCCACATTCAAAGCTTCCAGTTGTCCTTTCCTAGTGGAATTGTGAACAGTATGAACTTCTCCTGGCAAAGACATGTGACACTATGCATAGAATACTGCCATCCAGAGAAACTCACCTGAGCCTTGTTGTCCAGAGTTTTTATTGGGGCTTGGCCATGTAGACAAAGTTGATTGCCCACATGGCTGACCTCGGTTTCCAGTTCCTCCAGAAGCTGAGCTGATCATGGGCGTACTATTTTTTTTTTAAATACAAGATCTTGAAAATGTATGGAAATTTTGCATAGTTGTCTTTATAAAGCTCTTTTAATAGACAAAAATATTTAAACTTACTTATTACTGAGTAAAACTAACACTGTGGCTTTTAAAACGGACTCATTGTTGAGTGTCTTGGAGATTGAGGTACTCAGTTTGAGCAACGTGAGTCCTTGTTATCAAACCACCAGTGGTCTCTGTGAGACTTGGTCCAAAGACCACTTCTTACTTGACCTTTCAAGAAGATAGTTGCCTTCTTGAAACGCTTTTTTTCTCTGGCCTTTTACTAGATCATATACTTCAGTTCTCTTCCTATTTCACAGGGCCCTTTCCAGTTTTCTCTGTATCACTTCTAGATGCAGAAACCCCTCAGACTCAGTTCTGAGCCTTCCTCTTCTTTTTTATCTACCCTCCATTTCAAGGCAAACTCACCAAGTTCCATGGTTTTATGTTTATGCTAATAACTCCCACATTTATATAACTGGTCCAGAAGTCTTCCGGAACACCAAACTCCTGTATGCAATTTCCTACTTCAGTGCCTCATAAGCTCCCCAAACTTAGCATTTTTGTAGCAGATTGTCTACCAAGATAGCTTCCAACAATTCCTCGTCTCATGTTCCTAATGATTTGAGTCAGGCTATGAATCTTTGGCAAGAATATTATGAAAGGCCGGGCGTGGTGGCTCACGCCTGTAATCCCAGCACTTTGGGAGGCTGAGGCGGGTGGATCACGAGGTCAAGAGATCGAGACCATCCTGGTCAACATGGTGAAACCCCGTCTCTACTAAAACTACAAAAATTAGCTGGGCATGGTGGCACATGCCTGTAGTCCCAGCTACTCAGGAGGCTGAGGCAGCAGAATTGCCTGAACCCAGGAGGCGGAGGTTGTGGTGAGCCGAGATTGCGCCATTGCACTCCAGCCTGGGTAACAAGAGCCAAACTCCATCTCAAAAAAAAAAAAAAAAAAAAGAATATTATGAAAGTGGTGTTATGGTCTTCTCATTGCCTTCTATCAGAAGGCACATGATTTCAGTTTGTCCTGGCACTGATGATTTTACCTTTGATTTCCTGTGTAAGGTTGTATCTGCCAGGCTTCTCCACTGTAGTTACTTTTTTCCTCTTTTGTAAATTCGTATTTTTGTTGGGAGGTACTTAGAGACTATGTCAACATCACAGTTTCCTTGAAATTATTTGTTTATTTATTTGTTCATTTTGTTTGAGACAGAGTCTCCCTCTGTCACTCAGATGCAGTGCAGTATCACAATCTCAGCTCACTGCAACCTCTTACCTCCCAGGTTCAAATGATTCTCGTGCCTCAGCCTCTTGAGTAGCTGAGATTACAGGTGCCTGCCATGCCTGGCTAATTTTTGTATTTTCAGTGCAGACAAGGTTTCCCCATGTTGGCCAGGCTGGTCTCAAACTCCTGGGCTCAAGTGACCTGCCCACCTCGGCCTCCCAAGTGCTGGGATTACAGGCATGAGCCACTGTGCCCGACTTGTTCATTAATTTATATTAGCATTGACTCATGGTTTCTTATGCTATCAAATGAGTTATAATCCATTATTATTTATTTTGATGTAAAACTGTCTCAGATTTGGCCAGTGGGAGCCCCTTCAAGCAGGCTTCTGTGTCCTTTGGACATGTCCTCCCCAAGATTCTTTGATCACTTGCCTGCTTCCTGGAACAAGATGTTTCAGGCTCATCTTATACTTTGCCTTGGAATTAGTCATTTCCAAGGACCTTTAATTCCTTTTAATGGCGAATGGTATTTAGAAGCCAAGGTCTGGGTGCCAGGTGAGCTCATTGCTAATAAGGTGTTCATGTTTCCAGGTTCTCTCACTCATTGATTCCTACCTCAGGGCTTCTAATCTCAATGCTACTTCTGCCTGGAACTCTTCCTTCTAGGACTTCCCATTGCTGGCTCATTTTTTATGAGTTAGGTCTCTGCTCAAAGCCTCACCTACTTTGAGAAGACTTCATGATAGTATTATCAATTATCTTCCAAGTTCCTTTCTAACACATGCCTTATTTTGTCACCATGGTAACTAGAACTATCTTGGTTTTCTTTATGTTTGGACTCTCTCCCACAATGAAAAAATGAGTTGTATGAGAACACAGGGTTAAGAGTCAAACAGCCCTGGATTTTAATCCTAAAGAGCTTTGTGATTTTTAAATAATCGACTTTGAGTTTGTTTCTCATCTGTAAAAAAAAAAAAAAAAAAAAAAGAAAAAAAAAAACCTTTCTTTCAGGGTTTTATAATTAAAAAGCAAGATTAGGCCGGGCGCGGTGGCTCACGCCTGTAATCCCAGCACTTTGGGAGGCTGAGGCAGGTGGATCACGAGGTCAAGAGATCGAGACCCTCCTGGTCAAAATGGTGAAACCCGGTCTCTACTAAAATACAAAAAATTAGCTGGGCATGGTGGCGCGTGCCTGTAATCCCAGCTACTCAGGAGGCTGAGGCAGGAGAATTGCCTGAACCCAGGAGGCGGAGGTTGCGGTGAGCCGACATTGCGCCATTGCACTCCAGCCTGGGTAACAAGAGCGAAACTCTGACTCAAAAAAAAAAAAAACAAGATTATACATATGTTAACATTAAACTCATTATTTGGCATCTAATAAGGCTGTGGACTCCAAATTTTGTTGCACACTGAAAAATCACCTGGAAATCTGATGCCTGGCTTCCACAACCAAACACTGTGATTTATTGGGTATGGGATGCAGCCTGGAGATTGGGATCTTTAAGTGCTCCCCAGTTGGTTCTAAACGGACAGCAACATTTGGGAACCATTGCAATAAAGAACTATTTCTGGTAATTAATAGTATGGCAAATTCAGTATGAAGAACATTTATAAG